GCCACAACAAACGCAATACGAGAGTGACGTCGGCGCTTGAGAGGGAGGGCGTGCGCGCGCGTGGCAGACTGGAATACAAGTGCGAGCACGTGGGCGCGCGTGCGGATATATAGCGATGCCCGCGCGTGGGAATCCGTCAGCTGGGCCGCACGTGCTTCCGACCAGCTGCATCGGAGGGGGGGGAGGGGGAGGGGCGGGCTGCGGGGATGGTGGCGACTTTGATGCCGCTCTGTGGGCGGGGTGGGCGCGCTTTTGGCGAGTTAGAATATATTTATTTTCAGTTAGAAATATCTACTGCTTACTGCTACTATCAATATCATATATATATATATATATAATATATATATATATATATATATATATATATATATATATTATATATATATATATATATATATATATATATTATATATATTATATATATTTTTTTTTTTTTTTTTTTTTTTTTTTTTTTTTTTTTTTTTTTTTTTTAACTATTAATATCATCTATCTATCAATCTATCTATCTATCAGTCTATCGATCTATCTACATGTACACATACACACACAAACACACACACATACAGTATGTATGTATGCATGCAAATATGCATTATATAAATCATAAACACCAAAATGAAACCTGACTTCATACATCTTTAAATAAATCTTAAAATCCTAAATCCGTCCTTTGACCGAACCTGCAAATCCGAGCCGGCCTCCCGCCACCACAAGGCAAAATAAACAATGGAAATATGTGCTAATTCGAGTCCGCACGTGCGCGCGCGCCACACTTGTTCGTCACGGGGATCAAAGCGAGCAATCAAACTGATTTCTGCTCGGCATCAATTCCTCATTAATGGCCAATCACTCATCGATTTGCGAATCTATCGTGATTTTTTCAACCAATCGGATCACGGATTAAGTTTCTGTCTGTCCGGTAACGAACGGGCATTCCGCAAACGGAGAAATTCGGCTAAAAAAGAGTGGAATCGGATATATTTAGACTCTCAATTGACCGCGGTGGTAATGAACCGTGGCGGGTGCCGGCCCACGTGTTGACGGTACACTTGTCATCCCTACACAGCGAGGGGAGGGTCCGAGGGGAGGCGAGGGGGGAGGGGGGGGAGGAGGTGGAGGAGGGAGGAGGAGGCAAAGGGGAGGGAGGGGAGGCGAGGGGGGGGAGGAGGAGGATCTGAGGAGGGGGAGGAGGAGAGGAGGATCTGAGGGGGGTGAGGAGATGGAGGAGGAGGAGGAGATGAGGATCTGAGGGGAGGCGAGGGGGTGGGGAAGGGGAGGAGGATCTGAGGGGAGGAGGTGGAGGAGTGGAGGAGGGGGAGGAGGAGGAGGAGGAGGAGAGGTGAGGGGGAGGGGAGGGAGGGGGGAGGGAGGAGGTGGAGGAGGATCTGAGGGAAGGGGAGGGGAGGAGGGGAGGCGAAGGGGGGGGGGAAGAGGAGGAGGAGGGGAGGAATCTGAGGGGGGTGAGGGGGGAGGGGGGAGGAGGAGGTGGGAGGAAAGGAGGATTTGAGGGGGGTGAGGAGGTAGAGGAGGAGGGAAGGAGGAGGATCTGAGGGGAGGCGAGGTGGGGGGAAGAGGAGGAGGAGGAGAGGAGGATCTGAGGGGGAGGGGGGGAGGGAGGAGGAGGAAGGGAGGAAGGGGTGGGGGAAGGAGGAGGGGGGATCTGAGGGGAGGTGGGGGGGGGGGAGGAGGAGGAGGGGAAGGGGAGGAGGAGGAGGATGGAGGAGGAGGGAGGCGAGGGGGGAGAGGAGGAGGAGGAGGAGAAGGGGAGGAGGGGAGGAAGAGGAGGAGGGGAGAAGGGGAGAAGGGGAGGAAGCGGAGGGCAAGGGAGGGAGGCGATTAATATACCACCGTGAAGAGGGGAAGAGGGATCCTTGGGCAAGTGTCCGGGATGGGTGGGGGGGGGGGGAGGGGTGATTTTCGAGTATGGATGCCCGGTCGATAATGTTGTTGTTGTTGTTGTTGTTGTTGTTTTGTTGTTGATTCCCTCTTGACTATAATTAGGATAATATTAATATTCAAGTGTGAGGGATAAAGAGACCAAACCTAACCTAACACTAAATAGAAATAAAAGAAAAGAGGAAGATGAACAGGAAGAATGAAGGTGAAGACGAAGAAACGAAAAAGAACAAGATGAGAAAGTAAATAAATGCATCTCTTTCCTTTTCTATTCTTGCATGATATCTACCTAGGCTAAGACACAACGCTCTGGACTTGTGCATTCCGGGATTTACTGTAATCTCCGGCGCATACTCTCCCGCGCGCCGTAAGCAATCTTTAATAACACGTTTTGGCCATCTTAAATTATGCGGGAGTAGTCCGGTTGGCGGGAGCACGGGAATCGCGTCCTTATTCGCGAGGTCTGTAAGGCTCGTTTCTCCTTGGTGTGGTGGACTGACCGGCGATGACCTTAGGAGGAGGGGAAAAAAATCATTTGGATGGCGTGAAATAAAGGTTGTTTAAGGTTTCTTTTCCTTTCTTTCTTCATCTTCTTGGGAATTAGGATAGTTTTTTTCGGAGTAAGGAGAGTGGAAGTGCAGAATGTTTGCCAGAATGACGAGAATATTTCCTCCCCCAATTTGAAACGATCCATTCCACATGTTCCGAGATTAAGGAGAGATCGACCAATAGGAACGTCCGAAGCTGTTATGGGGCGGGGCGAACCTCGACTTACCAACTAGTCATTTACTTCCAATTTCTTAAATACCCTTCTTTACCCGCACCACAAACAAAAAAATTAACCCTCCCTCCGAAATGACACCAAATCACCAAATAAACAAAATAATAAAATAATAGATCCCAAATTGAATAATACGATCTGGAAAAAATAAAAACTAGAAAGAAATGCTTAGCAACCGCCGCCGACTCCGAGCATCAGTGTAACAAAAGGCCTGGGAGTGAATGGGCCATAAGTGATCCTGAAAATGTTATCTATAGAGAAGTAATTTATTCTTCATCTGATGTGGGCTGTGGCTTAACACCCGGCTACACCGTACACGCTGCGCCGACACTCTGCTGCGAATCTGTGCCTATTCTTTTATATATATTTTTATTTTCTTTTAAGATTACTAGAATGTTTGATTGTAACCAGCGCAAAATTATTGTTGTTTTGCAATTCGTGTAAGATAGATAGATATGATGGTGATGATGATGGTTGTAAATTATAACTAATGATAATATTGATGATGGGTTATGATGGTGAAAATGATGAAATAATGTTGTGATGATGATATCAATAATGATAATGATGGGATGATTCCTATAATAGAATGATAATAATAATGATAATAATGAGGCTAACAAGGATGATAATAATGACAATAACGATAGTGATGATAGAAATGATGGTAATAATGATAATGATAATGATAATTTTGATAATGATAAGGACGATAATTATGATAATGACGAAGATAAATATGACAATGATAATAATGATGATTATATTACTAATGATGATAATTATAATGATAAGAATTGATTGATAATGATGATTGATAATGATGATAACATATGATAATAATAAATATAATATAATAATAATGATAATGGTGATGATAATGATAATAATTATGATAATGATATTGATAATAGTAATAGCAAATACAATAATGATAATGATAACACCAGTAATGACATAAATGATAACAATTACAACAATAAAACAAAAAAATGATAACAACAAAAACAAAAATAACAACAATAATAACATGATAATAACAATAATGATAATAAGCCCACAAGACCAAAGCACCCCCCCTCCCCCGCCCCCGATGGCCTGTCGGGTGGGCGTGGCCTAGAGGTGTCACGTCGGGGCAGAGGTTGTCACTGTCACGTGGTGGGCGGAATGGATTACAGATTACAGATTACAGATTAACTCCGCCGCAGATTCGGGGGGATTGGGCGGGCGGGGAGGGAGGTGGGGGGTGTGGTGGGGGGTGGGGGGGGGGGGGAGGGGGAAGGATTTGATCAGCTGATCCATTGGGGGTCTTGTGGTATTGGTTCAGTTTGGGTGTTATTATCATTGGTTATTAGTTATCATTATTATTATTGCTATTATTATGGTTATATTATTATATATTGTCATTGTTATTATTTATTATTATTATTATCATTATTATTATTATCATTATCATTATCATCATTATCATTATTATTATTATTATTGTTATTATTGTTATTGTTATTGTTGTTATTATCATTATTATTATCATTATTATTATTATTATTTTATTATTATTATTATTGTTTATATATTATTATTATTATTATTATTATTATTATTATTATTATTATTATTTATTGTTATCATTATCATATTATCATCATTATTATTATTTAATCATTCATCATCATTATCATTATTATTATTATATTATTATTATTATTTTTTTGTATTTTTGTGGTATGATTATCTTGGTGAAAAGGAATGGTGCATTTATAAGATTATTTATGCTAATTTGCTTTGAAAAAGAAAAAAAGAAAAAAAAAGAAAAAAAAAAGAAAAAGAAAGAAAAAAAAAAAAAAAAAAAAAAAAAAAAAAAAAAATATATATAATATATATATTATATATTATAATATATATATATATATATATATATATATATATATATATATACTTTGATCGATCACTCTTTTCTGATCACGAGTTGCAAGTAAACTGAATATTCAATCTAACTTCTGTAATCTTAAGAAAAATCGGGTCACACGATGGATAACGATGAATTGGTAATGTAAAAATCCAATTACGATAATAGAAGTAATAAACAAAACAACAACAAGAAAACATATACGAAGCAATACACAACGGTAAGGTTTTTAGGAATCGAAATGATTTCAGAAAACAACAAGATGGCAAAGACACTTACAAGGAATATCGTGTCACAAACAACAACAACAACTAAACATCCTCTTTTTGTATGTATTCATAAATATGTATATATATATATTATATATATATATATATTAATAATATATATATATGTATATATATATATATTAAT